TTGATACATACTGCTTAGAATTACAGTATAGGCTTTCCCCCCCATAAAGGCAACTTGTTTTTGAGACTTGAGGCAGGCGTTCCCCACCTCCCAGTCAATACCGGAAATGAGGATTGGTTCAGTGGCTCTAATTCCAGTTTCAAATTATGACTATCAAATCAATGAAAACAGATCTATTTGTTATTATTTTTCTCCGAGTTTTTTCTTACACACTACCAAGTTGTGACTGAAATGTTGGCACCAACACTGCTTTTGAAAAACAAGGTCACTCTTGAAAAAATGCCATAGGCGCGACAAGCAAACACGTCTTAAACAAACTGCTCATATTATGAATTTGTTCTTCTGTTGGTATTCCCTGCATATCCACAGGACTTTATTTGCCTTTTCTGTGTCGCGTTTGCAGAAGTGCTATACGAGTTATACAAGTGCAAATCTTGTGTTTTACTGGACTGTAGAGGAATAGAGGATGAAAATTAGAACAAGGACAATTGCCACATACAGTGGGTTTTTGTTATCTGCTGAGGTTGGTTCCAGGACCCCCCGTGGATAACAAAATCTGTGGATTCTCAAGTTCCATTAAATACAATGACAGCAAAATGGTGTCCCTTATATAAAACAGAAAATCAAGTTTTGCTTTATGGAATTTATACTTTTTTGGAATGTTTTCAAGCTGTGGATACTTAGTTTTAGATTATTATTATTTTTAACTTTGTTTTAAATTTTATATTTGTAATTTTAATATTTTTATGGTTTTAATTGTACTATCTTAATTGTTGTTTTAATGTGTTTTATGTATGTTGTTAGCCGCCTTGGATCCCTTTGGGAGAAAGGTGGGATAAAAATAAAATAAAATATCAGTGGATAAGGAGGGCTGACTGCACTACTTTTTAGTACAATTGACCCTCCTTATCCATGGATTCTTTATCCATGGATTCAACCATCCATGACTTGAAAATAGTTTTAAAAATATAAATTCCGAAAAGCAAACCTTGATTTTGCCATTTTATATAAGGGACACCATTTTACTATGCCATTGTATTTAATGGAATTTGAGCATCCATGGATTTTGGTACCTACGGGGGGGGGGAGCTGAAACCAAACCCAGCGGATGGCAAGGGACCACTGTATATGAGTCAACTTCAGTCAATTACTGTAGTGAAGATGATGGGTCATAAAAGTAATTGATCTGATCCATTTATTTACCACACAGTCCTCCTCACCATTTTTTTTTTATTTTCACAACAATACTGTGAGGTAGATTAGGCTGAAAGAGAATAACTGGTCCAAATTTGTCAAATGAGCTTCTTTCTTACCTGAATGGGGATTTGAACCTGAGTTTTCCAAGGGAACATCCTAACTGCTACACCACACTGGGACTCCAATGTGATGAGTCCAGCCTACCACTTGTGGAGCTTGATTGTGTTTGATGGAAATACATTTTCGCATCAGAATCTCACACCATTAAAGCTGGCAGAAATGGAAAAATGGGGAAATCACCAAAGAGGAATTCAAACAAATA